GTGATTGCTGGTGGGGAGGGGTAGTAGAGGGAGGTGGAGGAGGGTATAGAGGGGGATAAATGGTGATGAACAGAGACTTGACTTGGGGTGATGAACACACAATACAGTGTACAGATGTGTTGTAGACTTGTGTATGTGGAATTGGTATAATTTTGTTAACCAGTGTCCCCCCAATAAATAAAAAGGACAAAAATAATAAAATAAAATGCAAAGGAATAACAAATTGTTGGGTTGTGTAATGACTTAGCAGTTTTCATTATAAATAAATCAATTAACTTAAGTATAAAACTAAATAAATAAGTCACATCTGAACAAAGAATGACATTGTGTTATGAACCTAAGACCTATGATTAAACAATTCTGTAAATCCAAGCCCCTAACCCAGCCGTGGGCAAACTACGGCCCGTGGGCCGGATCCGGCCCGTTTGAAATGAATAAAACTAAAAAAAAAAAGACCGTACCCTTTTATGTAATGATGTTTACTTTGAATTTATATTAGTTCACACAAACACTCCATCCATGCTTTTGTTCCGGCCCTCCGGTCCAGTTTAAGAACCCATTGTGGCCCTCGAGTCCACCCCTGCCTTAACCCATCAACAAAAAATAGAAGGAAAAATAAAAGAAAAAGGCAGGGGAGCTGGTAGAGGAAATTGAAATAAAAAATAAAGATAATACCAAGAATCATTTGCAGGTTTTGATTAAAGTAAGGCTAGTATGCATTCATTTAAATCATTGAAACATTTTTGGCATGTTGAAATTCCAGAGTCTGTCAGAAAAAAAAAGACATAATCAAAATAATTTTCAAAACAACACTTCTTATACTTACTGCTAAAAGTTTATCTCCAATCTGAAGTTTACCATCCTTATGTGCTGCACCTCCTTCAATTATTTTGGTTACATAGATGCTATTATCCCCAGGAATATGTTGATTTCCAACACCTCCAGCAATGCTGAACCCAAGACCTGTTTGGAAAACACTAGTCTTAGAATCTCATCAATAAGTGTGAACTAAAGTCCAGAAAGAAATGGATGGAAAACAGAAGGTGATAATTTCACACTATGTTTTTAAAATAGAAAATAATTTATTTACCTGCTTTTAAATTCCTAAATATTTGTCCTCAATCAGGGGACAACTGTAATTATAAGTGCTCCTGTTACAAATAAGTTCCTCTGTCTCCCCCTCCCAGGTTAAGTCTTAAAGTCTCTTTGTAAATGAATTAGTTGGTTAGCTCAAAGAGACATTGTAAAATTATGTTTCACTTTTGTTTCGAACTTAACTGCTTCTTACTAACACTTTTAATACCTTCAGGAGATTAAAACAATTAAGAAAAAAAATAATAAAATTGTCTGCTGGTGATGGGCAGAATAAGCTTCAGAAATGTGAATATTTTTCCAATATTCTACGAATTAATTTTAAATAATGCATTTATGGAACTCATAAATCTCATAGCTTAGTATCAAACAAATTTGTAGCTCTCTATTCCTTATTTTGTTCATTGGAGTAGCACCTCTTCCATGAATCACAAATTAGAATCAATATTTCTATTGAAATATTAATTCCATCCATGTTTTCAAAATTCAGAAATCAAATCTGAATAGTCCTCATTGCAGATGAACTGCTAATGATACATTCATATTTTCTTCTTTTAACTTAGTCTTTGTACTTGCATTTAACATACTATGGATTAAAGATTACAAGTTAATACCCACACTATACATTACTTCAAAGTATTTAAGTAGAAGTCTACTTAAGACAAAAATCAGTAGAAATAGTAGAAATTCTAAAAATTCAGGTAAATTCTGTACGTTCCCAGTATTGTTAATCTTAGAATGTGTCATAAATAACTTCGTAGTTATACTTAATTCAAAGATACCTTACTTAATTTGTCTTAGTATGATTTATGTATACCTTTAGGACCTTTAATGAGCTTTATTTCCATTATTTTTTCTGATACTGGTTTCCGTCTTTTAACATACAAGCGTACGATAGACCCGGCTTCTTTCAAAGCTTCAACTGCTTTGCTATGTGTTACATCACGAACATCTACTTCATTTACTCGCAATATACAGTCATTGACCCTGAGGAAAAATAAAAATTAAGTATTAAAAATTTAAATATCAATTTTTCATTTTGCCAATTTTTTGTTGGCCTTTTCATTTTTAAGGTAAAGAGAATTATTTGCTAGAGAAAATATAAGTGAAGAAACTGCATGTTTAATTACAATGTATCAAATACTCATATTAATAAACACAAACATTTCCCAATGGCCAACAAAAGAAACAGTACAAATAATAGATTATACAAAAATATTGAATAATAACAACTGCAATTTGTATGCTTATTATGTGTAGGCTTAATACTTTAGAAAAATAGCAAATATTTATTTAGCATTAACCACATGCCAACTACTTCTTTTAGTGCTTAATTTAACTCTTATTAGGTACATATTTATATCATTAATTTACAGAAGATAATAAGGCACAAAGAGTTTAAATAATTTTCCCAAGGCCACTCAGATAATGACCAACAGGGATGTCATTCAAAGATAAAAAAACTGAGGCTCAGAATGAATATCTAGCTTAAGGTCACAGAGATAGTAAGTGACAAAACTGAGATTTATCCCAAAATATTTTTTGATTGCCTTTTCCAAATTAGATACTAGATTTAAAAAAAATAAAGTTATTTGTTGAGATTTATAAAAGTTCAAGGTTATATACTATTTAGTATATTAATTAAAAGGTTATAATGTAAATAACTTAATAACAAAGTCTTTTTTTTTAAAGTCTGATTCATTCCTAGTTCTAATTTTTTGCCCTAGCTCTCGTCTCATTTTGGGGGTTGGGAGAGAAGAGGAAGATGGTCATTTAAAGTTGGGTGGGAAAGGGGAACAAAACATAATTAAAATATTAATAATTGATCCTGATAAGATTCTATATCCAATTAACTTTAATATTTAGAGAAAATTGCCAGTTCTTTGAATTGGGAAGGTCAGGGGAGGAATAAAAAAAAGGAGACATATGTACTATTATCTGTAATACTTTAAACAATAAAATAAAATAAAAAATATTTAGAGAAAAGAAATGCTAAATCCAAAGACAATGATACCTTAGAGTTAATACTATAGGTATGTTTCCTTAGTGAAACAAATGGGACATATTAATATTCACATATCAGAAACACAAATAAAAGGTCAGTAACATAATCAGGAAATAAATGTCTACATTTATATGAATGGTCAAATTATTTATTTCATATCTAATAGAATTAAGTTAATATACCACCTGTCATGTCCAGTGAGAAGCTTAGAAACTGAAGAATGGCATGAGGTACCAATAACCTTAAAATAAGATTTTTTTATAGACCATATAAATTCCTTACCCTAAAACTGCCACTATATATATATATATCATAAACAAGTGAATAAAATTCCCATAATCTATGGCCTAAGGAAACAGCTAGGTATGCTAAAGATACCTTCTGAAATGGAACACTAAATTTAAACAAGAGTTTAAATAACTGTTATTTTCATCTATTCAATTAATAAAATATATTTAAATTTACATTATCTTTATTCTTTGTGGTAGGAAATACAAACTCAGAGATATCTGATCCCTGTATCTTAAGTAAGTTTATATATATGTTTCATACCCAGAAAATACAAAAAATTTTGTGAATTTATTTGAAAATAGAAAGTAAGACAAAATTAAATTCCTAAATGAGAGAAGAAACAATGCTTAGAGCACAATTATCTCATTCACTCATTATTTGAGCATCTACCTTACATTAATTATTGTGATAGTGTTTCTTTTTGTGTTTATGCCTTGTTCAGTTTGCCTACAGAAAAATACACAAAGTGGATTCAGTATCTTAATATAAAGTGCAAAACATACCGCAATCTTCCATCTTGGGCAGCTGCTCCCCCTGCAATAATTTTGGTAATGAAAATACTTGAATCATCTCCAATGTGTGGGTTGTCCGTACCTCCTGCAATGCTGAAGCCAAGCCCTGAATTTCCCTAGGAATAGAGAAAAAAAAAATCAGTGAATAATAATTATCTTTATTGATAGGTTTCTGTCATTATAGGGCCTAGAAACTGTACTAACACAGGGAACAAACTCATAAAGGTACCTATACAGGGAATATGAATATTCTAAATTAAAAAATACAAGGAAAGCCTTTTCTCTCTATGAAGAATTCAGAGGCATTATTGCTGAGTAGGTGAGACTGAAGAACAGGTACTGAGTACACTTTTGGAGTCTAGTCTATGGTTTTTTCTTTATAAGTATTTACAATTTGTCCTTGGATTAATCACCTTTCTGCAAAGGTATCACTACTAGATCTTTTCTTTTAGACTGTACCTCGCTCATGTTGGGTAAGGCAAATGTCTCTAAGAGAAAAACACTGAGATTATTCTTTTTGTTGCTATTATTTCTGAGTAGGTAAAACTAATATATTATTTTAGTCTTTTAAGAAAGGGGTAGGGGGTGGAGCTTTTCTTCTGCTAACTTTGCCATCAGCTTATTTCATCAATTTGTCAAAGCAGCGCTACTTTTTGCTTGTTTTACATATAGGATTTCTGAATATTTTCTTTGAAAAACGGGTTTTACTGCTATAAGTCTCTAAGGACAATTATTCTAAGCAATGGTATTTTTAAAATGTTTATTTTGCAATTTTCCAACTCTGGCTTTCAGCAATTCAAATAAGCAAACATATCTGGACCTATTATTTAACTGTTAGTATTAAATAGCTTACACAGTCATTCTACTATGATGTGCCCTAAAATTCTATTTAAAAAAAATTTTTTTTTTCAGTCTCAACTCCTCAAGAGTTACTAGAATCTCAGCAATAGTATCAATAGGTTGTGTGAGTTTATCAAGTTATGCAAGTACTCAAGCTCTTTTTTTATTTTCTTTTTAATAAGATATAATTTACATATACCTGTGTAAGTTTAAGGTGTACAATGTGTTGATTTGATACATTTATATATTGCAATTAATTACCACTGTAGCTTTAGTCAACACCTCTATCATGTCACATAGTTATTATTTATTTTTTGTGGTGATAATGCTTAAAAGCTCGTCTCACAGCAATTCTGAAATACATAATACAGTATCATTTACTATAATCACTATGCTGTGCATTAGATCTCAGGAACTTATCTTCTAGTTGCAAGTGTGTACCCTTTAATAACATTTTCCCAATTCCCAGTATATTCCGGTTCTTTAATCAGTGAAAATACAATGTACAGTCCTGACTAAATAAAGGAATTTAAAAGGCATTAGGAAAGAATGAAAAATGAGTAAGATAAAAAATTAAAATTTTATGTCAATTATCTCAATAAGGCTGGGAAAAAACCCAACAACAGAACACCACATTGAAATATGTACAATACATTAATACTATGCTTATTTGAAAGTTAATCAGTCATCTACCTCACTTGAATAGGAGATCCATATTCAGATAGTAGGCAATAAATATCTATTATACATGTAAACGACTCTTTTAAGGTCTATTTTCACTCAGAGTCTATTCTGGATTCAAATATAAGCAAATCTAATTATCTAGGATTTTCATCTTATATACAGGATGGGGTAAAAGTAGGTTTATAGTTGGGAGCATGCAAAACAGAGTTTATTCCTGTAATTATTCATTAATCGTTGTATTATTTTCCATACGAACAATTGTAAATCTACTTTTGCCCCACCCTGTATACTCAGCTACTCAGGAAATTTACTTGTATGGAACACTTCATTTCTCCAAAATGCTAGTCACACAGGGTGGTTTTACTAAAATAAAGCATCAATTAAATGCTGATATCCTTAAGGGGAAAATATAGCAAGAAAATTTATACATCTGAATTATACCCTTAAGTTATTTTCTGACTAGGGGAGTACATGAGTTTTCGATAGGGTCTTGTCAGTTAGAAATATGGTTATTATTTTGCTATGAAAGAATATTGATACAATGACCAGGGTACTAAATACTTACTTAAAATAATATTTTATTATATAAAAAATAAATTTAAAAATTAAATTAAAAATGGAAAAAATCTGAGAAACTGTCAGTCTAAAGGAAACATGATAAATAAATGTAATGTGGTATCCTGGATGAGATTCTGGAAGAGAAAAACATCAAAACTAAGAAAATCCAATAAAGTGTAGACTTTAGTTAATAATGTATCGATACTGGTTCGTTAGTTGAAACAAATGTATTGTAGTAACGTAAGATGTTAACAGCAGGTGAAAATGAGTCCAGGAAAATGGGAACTCTGTATAACATTTCTACAAATCTAAAATTATTTTAAATAAAAAGGTAATTTTAAAAAAGGTTATTAAAGAAAAGCAACATGTTCTGAAAATACCAAGGCTAATTTTATGATATGTAACTCATAAAAGAAATGAATATTACATGGCTCTGTTTTTTGGAAGATCTATTCCCTTGAATTCTATAATGAAAGAGCAGTACTGTATACTTAAAGAGTTCTTTAAAGCAACAGATTTATGCATAAAAACTTAAGATAATTAATAGTTTTTACCCTTTCAAGTGTGATTTCTTCATATTCAAAATCTGCATCAGTGCCATTAACCTAATGGAGGGAAAAAGAAGTAGCACAGAAATTTAGAGTATAAAATTTGAAATGGCAAAACATAATTTTTGCATGATTTATTAATAAAAACCTGTTAAATGTGACAGCAATAAAATAACAGTTTCATTTTAATAATTTTAGGGACATGTTTTAAGGAATGGAAGAGTACAATGTGATTAATGAGTTGACATGGTATTATGATCTTCAAATATGGAATTCAGCTAATTGAATTCTGACTCTTTTCTCTGCACATCTTTTTTTTTAAAAAATATATTTTCATTGATTTCAGAGAGGAAGGAAAAGGGAGAGAGAGACAGAAACATCAATGATGAGAGAGAATCATTGATCGGCTGCCTCCTGCACGCCCCCCACTGGGGATCAAGCCACAACCAGGCATATGCCCTTGACCGAAATCAAACCCAGGAACCTTCAGTCTGCAGGCTGTCGTTCTATCCACTGCGCCAAGCTGGCTAGGGCTCTCTGCACATCTTAATCAATTGTCAATTCTTAGTGATTTGAATACTTGTTTTTCTGAAAACCATCACCTTTTACTCTCATTTTTATTACTTTGGTTCAAGCCTTTGTTAATCTCAGGGCTATTGCCAATGTAATCTACCCAATCTCTTAGATTAGTATGTTCTACTGCTCAAATTATTCTGCTTTATGCAGATAGATATTTTTGGAGCCCATCTATCCTATCCAATAATAGAAAAACATGGTAATTAACTGTACCTCCGACACGCTTCCCATTGGCTAATCAGGGCGATATGCAAATTAACTGCCAACCAAGATGGCGGCCAGCAACCAGGCAGCTGAAGCGAACAGGAGGCTTGCTTGCTCCAGTGACGGAGGAAACCAAGGTTCCCCGCCTGCCTTGCCGGCCTCTGAGCTGCTCTCTAAGAAACATTGTTGCAAA